AGTGCTCTGAATCCTGTGCCTGAAAAACTTTGCATTTGAGGTATTAGAAACAGAGCAACTTGCATAATTTCCTTTAAACTTCTGTGCAGTTTTGTATTCCCACTGCTGCTGATCATTTTCCAGGGTTTTTTGGCTTGCATACTTGTCATCTTTACTTTCAGATCTTTGGAGGAGAAAGCTTTTCGTCTGGTTTCTTAGGCCTGAGGTGTGGTAGACCGAAACGTTGTGTTTCACATTTTATGTGAACTGTTGCTACATTTTTTTTCTTCAAATGCTGTTAGTGGAGTCAGGCTGGGTTTTTTTTGCTACATTTGTCAGCTTCTTTTTTGGAGCAGAACATGGAATAACATTGCCTTGCTACCAAGTATTAATAAAAAGGAACAGCAAGGGGCTGAGGTTACAGGTATATTCTAGCCATGTAATTTTCTTTGGAGATACTTGTTTATATCGTATATGTATTTGTCAGCAAGTGCTTGTTTTTGTTTTTTGAACTATTTGCTTGGTGTAACRTCACTATATCAGTACGACCACAACTATATAAATACTGCCCCTTTTTTAGATCTTTATTGGAATAATAGCCAGCCTTTTTTTGCTTTGGGTTATGTCAGTGTAGATGACCTGCTATGTCAGTATAAACAAAATTGGAAGAAAAGGTCACTTAGCCCAAAGAYGTTTCTATGTGGATCATTATGCTAGTGTAACTAAACCATATAATTATATGTGTAGAATGGTAGTGCTGGTAGAGCTGCTTTTGAGAGCAAAGTCCAGGTTGCTTTGYAGAGGATGTGGAGAGCCCTGGCGACAGCTTAATGACCCCCATCTCCTTTTCCCTCGGCGTGGTTATAGCAGAGCAAAGTATTGCTTGTCTGTGCCCATATTCCGTGGCCTTTTCCTCAGCAGTGTCACCGAGGACTGGTTTAAGATTTGGATGCAAACGCAGCTCTACGAGCCACGGCCTTGGGCCACCCCTGCTCCTGCCCTGGGCCTGGACACCCCGGCCCTGCAGGTTTCTCAACTTGGCTGCCTTGCAAAAGCGGCTTCCTGTTTGTCTCCTCCTCTTCCTGCTGCTTTTTTGCTTTTGCCAGTTCCTAAATTATGTAGCGTGCTATTTAAACAAAACTATTCGTTTTAGGGGTTGTTTATATACTTCGCATAGTTGTAACTTTCCTGCCGTGGAAACGTGCAGCTTTGTTCTGCGAGGGGAGCCGTGCTTGCCAGGAGCCTCCTGCCTCCCTCCCGCAGCCCTTTCCAGTACGGGGGAAAACAGCAAGATTCAGAAGCCCGTGTTGGAGTGACGCTGAGGGTAGGCTGGGACACAGGACGGGCTGTTCTTAGTCACTCTGCTTTACATAACTCTGTGGATGTTGTTGTTCAGGGTGAGTTGCAGAAAGGGGAAACTCGGGAAGGAGGCAGGTTTCGGAGGCTCCCATCCTTACCTGCTGGTCTGTACATACACTGTCCGACTCTCCCTGGAGGATGGGTTAATACCCCTCTGCTTTGTTTACAGAGGGCTTTGCAGCCAGCGTAGCAAATGAGTTTGSATCTTGCTTACAGAGATGGTCCTACAAAGGATGCAGAGGTACTTGCCCTTCCTACTACATGATTAAATAATACAGTTTCCCCGCCTCCAAGTAAGATGATACTGATGTAAAATGGCAAATGACTCACTTTTTCAAGCAGTACAGCAACACTGTATATTTGTTTTGTTTTCTTTTTTTTTTCCCCCTCCCAAGGTGCTTATATGCCCTGCCTAGCTGCTGGAGGCAGCTCTGAAAATACAGTGAAATGGGCCAGTTAGTGACTTCAGCAGTAGCCCCTTAATTGAAGTTGAGAAAGCAGCTGACATTTCTTAGTTTGTATAATAAATAATGTAAAGTTTTGAGATTTTTTTTCAGGTAATAGCTTCATTCCAGACCTGGAAGGGGAGAACTAATGCAGTCCCCTCCCTCTTCTTTTTTAAATAGCACTAGAAAGGGAAAAAAAATACCCCAATGTCCTGGCAGGAATACTGATTATTGATGGAAGTTCAGACGTGAGTACCTGTACGGGCAGGTTTGATGKTTTTTTTCTCACAATTACGTGTAATTATCTGCCCTGGGATGCCTGAACACTGCAGCCTGTGTTGCAGGCCAGTTGCTGGAGCCGTGTAACGTGCTTGGAATTGAGAAGGGATTTGCCACAGACGTGCGTCTCTTTTCCTGATCCATTCTTAAGCCCAATGTCTTCATGTCTGTACTGCATCTGAAAGGAAGAGCGTGTACTTTTCTGGCAACTTAAGCCAAACTGTCCATCTCTAATTTAGACTGCAAGCAGCTCAGAGTGGTGACTGGTTTTGTGTCCCGCAGTGCCTGTCTCCTTGGAATCCTGATCCCTTGAGGCCCCAGATCGAGCTGAGTTAGTAACAGTAAGTAGCTGCCATAAACTGCTTCCAGAGCTGGGTGGAGGAAGACCTCGAAAGCTGAGCTTCAAGGCAGGTGTCCCCCAAGCYAGCCTTGGTGCAAGACAGAGCACGGTCTTCAGCAACCTTTAAAAAAAGGAGTTGTGCAAGAACGGTCTCTCAGAACAGAGCAGCTGCAGGTCGCACATTTAATCCTGGCCTCTGTGTTTAATCTTAGTGGGAGTCGCTCACATGGTGAGTTCTTTGTGGGAGGAGATATATTTGTGGAGAAGAGAAACGACACAATGCTCATGTGATGCAATGGGAGCAAAGGTTTTCCTGAAAGTTAAATAAATAAACCATCTTTTACTCTTCTGTGATCTGGAAGATGGAAAATTATGATTGTGCAGCTTTACTTGCTGGGTTTGTGCAGAACTCCTAAACACGGAATGAGCTTGGGAGAATGAGAACTGCTTCAGGGTGGTTTAACTGAACGCACGTAGTAACCAAACAGTGCCAGTATTTAAAATACTTCAGTGTGACGTTGTAATGATTTGGTGTGTAGTGAGAGACATGAATAATAGATTACACCCTAATCCTTTAAATTACTGGCTGAGGTAGTTTTGTCCACAGACGATAATGTAGTGAAATCAGAAATGTTATTTGGGAACAGTAGATTTTAAAGCCAGTGACTGTTTCAAGTCTCTAGGGACGGAAGTGCGGGATAATGGTTGCTGTTTGTTCACACAGCACTTAGGCAGCTCTTAGATATGTCCATGTTTACATGCGTGGATGTTTCTGACTTCCATTTCCTTCTGGTGACTTTTTTACCTTTTAGTTTGTGTAGTTTCAGGGGAATAGAATTGTACGGGGGAAAAAATGTGCGTTTAATAGATGTACACTTTAATTGTACAATGAAATTGTAGTAATGCACTGCCATAATGGATGGTCCCCTTTGATAACATCCACTTCATATCCTTCCTTGTTCTTTCTCCTCTATTTGTCAATATATTAAAAAAATATATATATTTCTCGCACTTTTCTAAATTGAAATGTAAGCGAAAACTACCCGGCTCTCCCATATCTTTAGCAAGAGAACCATTCTGGTTGTGAGATTTGTCAACTTTAGAGGGGAAAATTGGTTAGACAGACAGGAAAATGTCTATCTAAAGTAAAACTATAACTGCATCAGGTGAAGAAAGCAATTCTGGAGTCTTTACTAAATAATTACTTCAAATAACATTTCTATTGCATTTTACAGTAGACAGAAATACTGGTTTTCTGGTGAACATAGAAAAAATATTAATTTTAAATAYGTACCTTACATGTTCACTTCTCTACTGATTAAAGTCTGATCCTCTTGCTTCATTCTGTTTAATWAGCAGTTAACACAGGTTAAAGAAACACTTGATTTTAGTTACTATAATTTTCCCTGGTAGTCCTTGACTTTAGCAGTTTGATATATTCTGTGGTTTGCAAACTGCATAGCTTGGTCAGTCTGTTTTTGTGGATTTTTTTTACAACTCTTAAGCATTATATGTCGTAGCATTATTAGGTATTGTACCCTTCGCTGACGTGGTCTAACTTGGAATTCCTCTGGAATTCCTCTAGAAATTAATCAATTTAGTTGTAATTCCAGTATTGTTATCACTTATAAAGATRCGTGTACTTTTTTCCTTTTTAACTTGGTTGAACTTGATTGAGGTGAATTTTGGTCCGTGTGCCCATTTTTGTGTATTTTGCCAGCATGGTTAAATTTTTGTGATTGCTTTGTTTCCAATCTGAATTTTAGAGACTTGGCTGCTGTGTTTGGGAGGAAGTTAGAATATCTTTTTTTAAAATTTATTTTTAATGACCCCTCCCTGGTCTGATGCAGCATTATGAGCTTGTTTTCTAGTATCTGCTGGCTTTTCCCCATCCCTTTGCTTACAAAGTCCTGCTTAATTTTAGATTAAACATTATCTTTCTTCTATTTAAAGTTATTTTTTATTATTTTGAATTGATTGCGAAGCTTGATTGAAAGTAGAAAATCTTTATGGATAAGACCTTTGCCAGCACTGTAGCATAAGAATAATTGTTGTTTGAATGGTGTGCATTAACTACACATAGTATAAAATAGTTTATGCTATCTGTTCCTTATCAGACTGTCAGGCTTTCTCTTAGTTTCTTCTTTAAAATGTCATCTTGTATAAGAGGTTTAATGAGACAGATGACAAGTACTGTGACTTTTTCCAGCATTCTGTGGACTCTCTTACTAAAAAACAAATGAAGTGATTTTCAGCTTCCCTGCTGTTTTGAAACTGTTGTTTGTGATATTTCTGTTGTGTTTCAAAACCAAGGAGACCTCATGTGGCTCTTATAAAAACAAACCCTGGAGAGTTTTCAAGGGAGGTAACAGTTCAATGTGTAGCCTGTGGCAAGAGCCCAAAAGGCAGGAAGGTTGATGCACTTCAGTGACAGGAGCACTTCAGTGCATAGCTCCCTAATATAGGTTAATGTGCACAAAATGCTATTTTATGTACCCATGCTGCCAAGGTGGAGTCAGAGTAGAGCTAGCATTCAAGATGTGTTATATAACTGAAATATCATAGCAAATTCACTTTTTTGTTTGTTTTTTTAATAGTGTGCCGGTCAAATAAAAGTCCATGGGTCTGTCTGACGTGTTCAAGTGTCCACTGTGGAAGGTGAGTACAGAAGTGTGRAAATTATTTCATAAACCCGTTATCATTTTTTTTTCTTCTGAGACTCACTCCAGAATTTCCCGAATGCCTGGGAATTTCCTGAAATTAACTTTCCATGATTTCATTTACCACTTACATTGAACATAGCTCCGCTATCTTCCAGGAGGGCAGCCGTTATACTTGGCATCCATTTCAAAAGAAAAGTGAGTGGTGGCTGTGATTAGCCACATCCAAAAGTGTCTGGAAAACTGCTAATTCAGTAAACTGTAGCTAAAATTCCGTTCTGTAAGAGATATTTGTATTGTGAAAAGATTAAAAAAATAAGATTTCTTCGAAACCCACAAGTCAAAATTTGGCCTAGCTTGTTTTGAGAAGATTGCAAGTGTCCTTGAAGACAGCAGTGTTTTGAATGTCAACTCAAAATATTTTCAATGTTTTATAGCACAGTTTTGGAGCAAAATAATTGTCGTAATGTAAAAGGACTCTCTAGTGCAAATATTTTGTCAGAGTACACATACTTTTTGTCCATGTTAGTTAAAGTACACCAGAAGAGTTTGTAGAGGGATGGTACAGTCGACCATTCTTGATATGKCAGGAAACTGCTGGAAATTTTCTCCCAGGACCATGTTTGAGATGCTCATATTTAAAGAGTCTGTAGATAATGTTTGTCTTTGAACAGTATCGGAGATGTGTGTTTCCTCTGCTGGGGAGCATCTGGGCTGCTGTGTTTTTATTCTGGAAAATTTATCATTAAGCTTTATGATTTTTAAAGGGAGTTTATTAAGCTTCTTTTTTTTTCTTTCATCTGTACAAGTGTTACAGTTTTAATGTCACTCATCCATAGTTTTCAGTACATCCTCACCCTCTTTTACCTCTCATTTTTATTCCTATTTATTCATYTATTTTACAGTTTTATGCCCCTCAGAGATGAGGAGCTGCTGCATGTTATATGGCCATGTGAAATGAGTAGTTTGGAATATTTTGCTTGTTCCATTACTCTTTTTTTTTTTAACTATTCATATGACTGTTCTTGCATCAAGTTAGTAGATGTTGAGTCAAATATTGATGCAGTCTGACTATCAGATTGCTACCATGCTCAAATAATGAAATTCCTYACATGAGAGAAATGTCATACAGCTTGTAGTGGGAGCACTTTGATCTTGAAGCCGCTAGAAGGTAAGCACGGGGCATGCAATACTCAATGCTCAGCTAATGTTTGAAACCAAAGGAAGAGGAAACGGAGCCTCTTGGGTCTTCGCTTGCAGAACATCCCCCAGGTTCGAGCCCCTGGAGCCCTGCGGGCTGTGCTGGAGCAGCCAAGTGTGTCTAGGGGTGCACAGCTCTGTGAGATGCTCTTGTCACTGCTGGGCAGAAAAGCAGCTCCCACGAGCACAGCCCTGGAGCTCAGGTTTCGGCAGAGGGGAAACCTCTGCAAATTAGAGCTGCAATAACAGGGTCAGTAACTGCACGTCAGTCTCCTCACGAGCACAGTGACACTAGCAGAGAGGTTCACACCTGTGTGAGAGCGAGGGCAGAGCACTGAGAAACCAGAGAGGACCAAAAGATCGTGGGGCACGTGCTGAGCTCCTAACCATTTGTGTGGCCGAGTTCAGCCAACAAGAAATAAAGGAGGGTGCMATTTTCTGAGCTCTGCCCATGCACTTCAGGAGGGCGTGACTTGCATTGGTAATGGCACTTTTTTTTTTACATTAGAGATGCTTAAATTTCAAGGTATGTCTCAAATTGGAGGTGTGAAAATATTTACTGTGTTGGCAAAAGCGCTCTACTGATTTTAGACTCCAGTTATATGATCCCAGGCCCTAGTGTGTTGTGAATTCCTGAACTTTTTGGGAACGCTCTAATACAAAATCAGCCTGCAGAATGGGAGAGCTTAAAATGGATGCCTTTTCAAAGGGAGTCAGCACACTGTTAAAGCAATCACAGAAATGATGAATGCTGGAATGGAAAAAAAGTAGAGCTGTAGGAAAAGAACATGGGGTAGCAAGACAGGGAACTATAGATTACCAGTGTGGACAAAAAAGGGGCTAATCAGTCTGTTGAGATCTCAGGTCCAGTGGGATTCAAGATTCTGGTTTGTGGTTYGTGTGAAGGACACATAGATACTAATTTGGGCAACATAGAACTTTAAAGGGAAAAGTTAAGAAACTTGACCAGCATTTTCACACAGGAAAAATAGCCCTTTTTAATGCCTGAATATCTTTATTTTAAATTTACATGAGGCTTTTTTCTTCCTTTTTTTCTTTAAACTGGATGTTCATTAATTAAATACCATAAGACTTTCTGTTTTTCATTTATTTCAGATATGTGAATGGCCATGCAAAAAAGCATTACGAAGATGCACAGATTCCTATGACCAACCATAAGAAAACAGAAAAACAAGAGAAAGTGCAGCATACAGTGTGTATGGATTGCAGTAGTTACAGCACATACTGGTAAGGGTTTAAATACTGTAATTTGGCTAAGGTGCAAACTTTAGACTCTTATAAACAGTATTACACCTTTTTCAAGAGTTCTTCATCTCTTTCATTTCCAGACCTGTGTAAGAACAGTTTGTAAAATAGCCCTCTGTTTTTGCATGTGTATTGTAACATTTATTGAGACTAAGCTTCTGCATTTGCAGTGACTTAGCACAAATATTTTGATGCAAATAGTATTTATATAGTTTGGAGTTGCRTCTGTTTGGCTTGGGGTATGTTGAGAACCAAAGCTACTGTTTGGTTCCCATTACTCCTTTCATCAGGCTGGTGAGCCTTTCTCCTTTATCAGACCATCAGAAAGTAAAGTAATACTCAAGTTCCTGCCCAGGAGATGTGATCTTGAGGCATGCATGTGGATTTTCCTGTTTGTTGCTTTTCTCTTCCACTGTTGATTCTGTTTTATTCCCCCTGAAAAGAAAGGCAGTGTTTCTGTCTGTGATTTTTGTGTAATGTGTGTGAGTTGGAGAGAGTACTGGATCCCGTGTGGAAGCAGCATCAAGAGAAGTGGTGTTCAAGAGCAAGAACGCGGCTCAGACCAGTTTATGTTAGCAGTTCCTTTTGAGTCAGAAAAGGGCACTGCTCAGGGAGGTTTAACAATTACACTGATAATAATTGGATTCCAAGTATTTTTGGAATTTTTCGGAGAGAGGAAGGACCAGAGCTCTTTTGGAAGCAACGCTTTTGGGCATACACAATCTTCTGTCCTCTCTCCCCTCAGCAAATTCAGATGGGTTTCTAGTGCCACTAAACATATAGCTCCACTGATGGATTTTATTTCATGTTGGTAATTGAGTATGTTACTGTAATGCATAAAGGAAATAGCTACTGAAGTTTGGCCTTCCTGTTTTGAGAAGGATGCTTCTTTAGCAAATGTTTTTATCCTCTGAAAGTGAAGCCAGAGTTAAGTGGTCTCACTTAAAGAAATTTTTGGTCAGAGTAACTCAGAAATGACTCAAGATGATATGTGCAGCAATGACAGACGCTGTGCACGTGTTAAGCCTAGAAGAACATCATGTTCAAGTAGTTTGTGATGTATGTAGCTTTTGCTTCTGTTTATGTTTTATTTAAATGACCAAAGCCTTTTGCCTGGCCCAGAGTTGAAAACATTATTAGAAAACCTGCAGTTTTCCAAGTAAGGAGTCTGCATTTTGTTRCCAGCATTGAAGCTGCTGTGGGAAGCTAATTCCAGTTACCAGTCTGTTGTTCACAGCTGAGTTCTGCTGTAGATTTTTTTTTTTATGCCTTTTATAGATATGATCTGTCTCTTAGTCACTTTGAAAGTAATAATATATGCAGGAATTCTAGCTGGGCATTTGATTATATCGCCGTTTACTGTAACTAATAGGATGCCTAGTCTACCAGAACCTGCTCAGGCTTGGTGAGTTATGCTGGCAAGTCAGAGCATCCAGCGGCCCTCATCCCAAACGCGGTCATGGTGTTGCAAAAMGAGGATATCCAAACCAAAGAATGCAGGACCTACTAATGAAGCAAAGCATCCCTGTGAGCAGTAGGTGAGCTTGCACGTTGGAGGCTCGCTGGTGTTTCACAACACCACGTGTGCAGCAGGGGGGATGAGAAGCAGCCTGGYGTGTGATGTCTCTCCTGCCATAAGCGGAGCAGAGGTTGAGGCGTCTTGCGGATGGACTGGAACGAGTTGCAGAGAGCTTTGCCCCAGGGAGTTCCTGGTGCATGTATTTCCCTAGCAAGTTACAAGCCTTCTCTGCAATCGTGAAGCTGGGCAGGTTTCAAAAGCAGACTCTCTTTGCTTGCATTGGGGTATTTCTTTTTTTCTTCCACTTGATACTCAGGGAAAGATGCTGGAGTTTGATGTTTGTACTCAGTCTCTCAGTGGAAGAAACCCTATATAACTAAGACTAAGATTAAAAATGATTTCTGCCCCTTTATATAAGTCAGTAAAAAAGGGACTGCTCTCAAGTCTTGCTTGCCAGTTGAAGTAAATACTTGGACAAATTCCAGCCGTAACTAGCTGTTTGTGGAGATTGTATGGTAAAATTTTGTTCTGTAGCGATTTCAGTGTAAATGTAAATCTAGTAGGCAGTGGGAGTAGCATTATATATATGCAACATCATTACTTTTCATCGCTCACTTTAAGTGAAYATGTATATAAGACTAATGCTTTATACAAGCAGTGTGGGCAACCTTAATTGGGAGTTAAGAAAATACTATCCTAAGAGATAATTAAGTTTTGCTTCTACTATATAAAATAACAGGGATACTTTGCTGCAATGTTGCCTTCAGTATTTTGAAGTTGCAAGATTTTGTTTACCACATATTTCAGTGGAAAGCTCTTATTCCATTTTATCCGATGAATTTCAAGCTAGCTCATTCTTAAGCTTATATAAAAGTGGCATCCAAAAGGTCTGTATGGGCACTCTTCTAATCAGAAGTTATTTAATTTCTTCCTTTTCTTTGGCTGTGTCATATTAACATTCAGTCATGAGAGCACAAACAGTTTGATTTTAGTAGTTCTTGTCAGTCCAAGGGGAAGAAATACTAGTTCCAGCTCCTGTGGTTTCTTGTGATATATTGAATTTAATTCCTAGTTTGCATTCTATCCTACTGTAGAACAAAACCAGATCAAACAAACTTCCTGTAATTGCATTTCAGAGTGGAAGGCTGGGTATGTTGTTGTGGGTTTTTTTTGTTTCTTTTTTTCTTCTTTAATCAAGCTTTCAGAATAGCTTTGAGGACTTTTCAATTCTGGTAGAGCAGTGGGGATTTTTATTACTTTTTTAATACCTGAGAGAAAATGTTTATTGTACTTACAAATTTTATGTTGCTTTGAAAAATACATGCTTGCAGGATCATTAGGTGTGGGGGAATTATGGATTTGCTTCCCAGAGGATTTCACTCTTCCTTCTGACCCCCTATTCTCTTTTTCCCCACTTTGCCACTCTTTACAGTCTAAAAGTTGACTGAATGTTAATCTTTYATTTATTGTGGGAACAGGACTCCGGATTCTCCGGTCACATTTGGGACAGTAGGTCCTACTGAATCCGTGTACTGGGTTACATTTGGGACCCTACCCCAAGAAAACRAGATTCCTGAATCGAGCTGATCAGCCTTGCAGTTAGTTCTGAGGCACTGACCACAAAGGGCTTGCGAGGAGGACAGATCGTGTTCCCCTTCAGGCCATTGAATGATACATTCTCCTGTGCCAGGCATCGCTTTCCGGTGCACGAGAAGTAAAATGATATTTATAAGAAGCTTGCTCTCAGAAATAAATCTTTCTTCTGAAAGAGGGCTCTTGAAAATCTCTTTTTCTCCTTTCTAGTGCATGGGCAGTTGGTTAGCGCAGAGGGAGAAAGGCTGCCCTGTTCCTGGGTTTGCATAATATCTTTCCCGTGTTCATTTAATCCCGGAKGCAATTTGTAGGTCAGGTTTCTGACCTCTTGCCCCCCTTGTTATCTCTTAAACAGACCTGGTTATGTTAGCATTCTCTTAATGTTTTTACACTGATGTGAAAATAGCTAACCGAGTGCCAAGGGCTTTAACCAAGGAATTAAAAAAAACAATTTCCTCATTCCTCGTGCATGTTTCTTTTCATGCTCAGGTTTGTTGTGCTAGAATGTAAGCATCAGAAAATGTGACTACTTAGACTGTAATTTGGCATTCTGCAGTCAGTGGAAATTAAGAAGGTGAATAGGATTTATCAAGAAAATAAAACTTGAGTCTTTAGTTTAGTTAGCTGAGGAAATGTGGACTCTCCTAATTATCCCTGTGCTATGCTTCTTTAATTGGGACTTCACAGCGTGCCATGCAGCAGCAGCCTGAATGTATATTCCCTGGCTTAGAGCCATTTTAGCAGCAGAGGAGGCCAGGGGAGCCTGCAGTTAGCAGAGGTGCTGAAAATAGAAAGGATATGGATTGGCACAGTATTTCCTGCTCTGTATAAGGGACACTGCCCGTAGCGTAAAATTTGTTGACTACAATTGCTGTTAAGAGCCTGTTGTGGAGCTAGTATATAGCAAAAGGTGTATATAGTACTTAATTTGGGATCATCTAAATAATCACAAGTTAAGTATGTTTCAAATGTAGGCTGTATATAGGAGGCAATCTCTCAGCAGCTCACCTATATGATGTACTGGTTTAACGAGTTTTAAGCWAATGAAGTCTGAACTCTTTCCTCTGCTTTTGGCTTCAGCTAGAACCGTTTGGTGCAGATTTATTTCTAATAGTTTTTATTCTCTGCTTTTCAGTGAAGTGGCACAAATAACGGTGCTGAATYCTCCGTGTTGCAAAGCATGTGGTTTGTTAAACAGGCCATGAAAAATAGCAAAGACTTTTCTTGTTTTTTAAGTGAATCTTATGATCGTTTTTCCAGCATGGCAAAGACCCTGACATGAAGGAATGATTTAATGATGTGCTTGGTTTTATTCATCCATCTTGGGGAAAGTGCTAACTTGCAGTTTCTTGCAAAGCTACAAGTGTTACACGAGACTGAAAACAYGGCCAATGCTACATTTAGGTACAGGGAACGTGCATTAAGTCATCTGTCCTTGATGTGTTTTTCCTGCTTTTGGCAGTAAGTTGGCTTAGGGACCAAGAGGAATTGTGGCCCATGACCGTGGCAAAGGCAGGAGCGTCGCGTTCAGTCCCTACGAGGGGCTGGAAAACCTCCCTAGGTCTGCTTCAAACAGGGGTGAAAAGTAAGAGTTTGCAGCCTGCCTTCCTCTCCAAAGCCAGCTGTGTCTCTGGCATCCTTTTAAAAAGATTTTTTATTTTTTAAAAAAAAGGGGGAGTGGAATTCCTGTGCAGGCAGTGGCAATTCTTCTGGACACCTGTGTGTCTTCTGGAAAGTATAACTGCTCCATTCAGCATTTGGAAAATAGYGAGAGCCGCGTTAGGATTCTCTTTCCAGAGGCAAAAATCATCGTAAATCCTGGACAGAGTGATCTTGTAGACTYCTTTTGGTGGCAAAGACCTTTGCTTTCTGAGCTCTGTAATCTCTGCAGTTCACTTTTTGAGGGAATACTTGGCAATGTTGTTGTCTTGGACCCACATCAGATTTGTGCAGCCAGCAACACTGATAATTCCAGTTGTGCCCCCAGTAGATACTTCATTAACTCACAGAGGATGCTAGGAGGGGTAACCTGAGCTGATAAGGATATACTTCTTATCTGAATGAGTCCTGTGCTGAAGGAGGAGGAGAGCAATGGCTGTAGTTTTGAATTTAAACACGTCCCAGGTAGGCTCAGCTCCTCCGAAGGAGAGTTCAGCTGTTTGCCAGAACTTTAGAGGTGCAGTTTGATGCTTTGCAGTATGCACAGGGAGAGTAAATGCTGCTAGGTCCCTCTTTGGCATGTGGGGGAAGTTGTGACAAGTCACCATGACTCTTGATGCTCCCATTTTCCATTCACTAATGCTGCTTTTGCTTACACAGTATCTTTTGATTTTTTTATTGAGTTGCGATGTACTTACTCCTTTTGTTTTCCCTTTCTAAGTGGGAAGATGATAACCTTGAATTTAATGAAGTGTCATAATAGAGAGCTAAGCTGGAAGAAGAGAGAAACACAGACTAAGACATTAGCTGTAGCTTCTCAGGTAGCCTGCAGAGAGGAACAGGCCCAGGGACCAGGTGTCGTGTCCCTTGTCCCTGCTGCTGTATCACTTCAGTGCTTCCTATGGATAACGTTGCATGACTGTCAGGAACCAGGCTTTAAGACACTTCACTGAAATCCTTTGCACACTCTGATAAATCTSTGTGTGTGTATATTATATAATTTTTGTTTATTTTATATATATTTTTCCCTGCAGTTATCGTTGCGATGATTTCGTCGTCAATGACACCAAGCTGGGCCTGGTACAGAAAGTCAGGGAGCATCTGCAGAACTTGGAAAAGTAAGTAGTCTGTTTGCATCCAGACCATTTCGGGCAGATTTAATAGCATTTTATTATACTGCACAATTTAAGCACTGGTGCTGCTGATACTATGTATAAGTATCTTTTTCATCACTGGGAAACCGAAAGCTAAGGGCTTTTTCTGACCTTGTGTGTTTGTTTCCTAAAGAGGAATCTTGTGGAAGCAAAGTAAATTCCTGTGTCATGTCTGCAGATGCCTGTTAAATTTCTTGCTTCTTACCRGTACTTACTGTGGTGGTGGTTGTTGGGGTGTTGTTTTGTTTGCCTGTTTGTTTTCATAGGAAGGGGCCACAGTTTTCCCAAGAGCAATGCCGTTTGGTCAAAGGCAGGATAGGCTTCTGAGGCAGAGAAATCAAAGCTGAAATGGAGGTGGACGTAGTTTTCATGTTAATTATGTAGCTTGGTTTCCAGACCAAGATTAAGAAGGTYTGTGAACTTAAAATTGTGCAGAAGACACGTTTTTCCTGTGGCTCTATCTGGCGCCCTTCCACTGCGAAGTAAATACTATAATCTTTGTGATGCAGATGCTGTGGCCAGCTCTGGAGAGCGAATAATCTTTTCATTTGCTTGGAAATGTTACATGCTGCTAAGCAGAAGTATGAGTGCTTACAGTGCTCATAAATACTCTTTAATACCCCAGAGTTCAAGTACTGTTACTGCTGAGAAACTGCTGTCACGTTGAAAAGCCTCTGCTGCCTCACAGAATAAGTGGGTCCCTGAGATTCTGAATCCTGTTGTCTGACGTCACCCCCAAATACATGTCCTTTGGGCTTCTTTTAATGACTTTCCTTTTTGAAYGTGGCTACAACGTAATAATGTTTTTGTCGCTTTCTGTTCACTTTTTGGGTGGACTTGTCAAATACGTAATGAGATGCTCACGGTGTGTAAGGATAATGAGAAGTACACGATAAGTGTGCAGCAGATGCAACTCTTATGGAGCTAAATGGCACTTGGTGGGCTTCCATGGTGTGTGATTAACATTTTTGTATTCTTGGAGGTTGGCTTATTATTAAATAATAGTAAAGCAAAACCCAAACACCTGGAACCCAGAACGTGTCATCATTTTGCTGCTAGACTAGAAGAAGTCGTAAACAGGAAGAATCAGGACGTCAGTAATTTCTAGCAGTGTGAAAAAGAACAACTTGCTCTTGTAACTTGGAATTAGTCTTACACAAATCTCTATAGCCTGTTTTATGAAGTCATTTGCGTGAGTGCTGCCACCCAAATGCTTCTGGTCTTTGGTAACCACTTTGTCCTGACTTTTGAAGTTGTTTTTCTAAAGATCTAGCATGACCCTCCTGACAAATACCTTTTTTGGAAAGCGTATGAAGTATTGCCTTGATTAATGAAAAAGATCAGTCAGTTTGAGTTCAGAAGTAGCAGGCTAGCAAGGCCAGGCTTTGCTGCCTTAATAATAATTGATGGCAGATGTAATTAGACATTTTGTTAGTTAGACATTTTGGTGATTATCTGTCGTCCTTTTCATACAATCTTTTTTTTTAGTAGTAACCTATTTCCATTACTTTCTTAACAGTTCAGCCTTTACATCAGACAGACATAGGAAAAGAAAACTATTGGAAAACTCATCTCTGAACAGCAAGTTATTAAAAGTAAATGTAAGTACAACGGCTCCAGTACAGCGAGTTTAAGGGATTTTAATAAACCTGTTGAAGCTAATAGGACTAGATAAAACATGAGTTATCTGTTACCCAGCTTTGATTTACTGCCTTTCTGATGTCTTTTATCACATGCTTGCAAGAGCCTTTTCTCATGAAAGAATTCTTCATATTCTTCTGAACTTGTGTTGCCCCAGATTTTGAACTATTCTGTACTTGGTGGGATCAGGGAAATAGGAAGCTGCTAACGGACTTACAGCTACATGTATTTTTTTTTCCTTTTTTTGAGCAAACAAATTATTCTTTTACGGCTCTGAAGGTTCACTGCAAGAAATTACTAGGAAAAGGCAAAAAAGCATGAATACGCTTTTAAAACAGCTTAGTAAAAGTCACCTTCAAAAACAGCTGTGGAATTAAAACTATGTTGAGGCTCGTATTTCCTCTTCCTGCTATTTTCATTTCATTTTGCAAAATAGTACCCAGGAGAGCGTAGTCCAGCCCTGGCTAGATGGCCGRAGGGCTACGTGGCTTCTTCCAGCAAAGAAAGCCCTGAGCCCAGTGTCTGCTGTCCGTGGCTTGGGCTGAGGGAGTTGCTGATCCTTGTAACTTCTGGATTTAGGGAAGCACTGACTCTGTTGGTGCGCTCCTTGAGGCTGCAGGACAGCAGTGGCAGGAATTAAAGGGAGATTATAATTGCTGTCTTAAATTAGGCGAAGCGCTTAGCTGACTAGGAAGGGGAGAAGTCCTTGAGAGGAAGAGGGTCGTGAAGAGCACCGAATTTCCAGCAGCTCTTAGGCCTTTTGTGTGCACATGGACTTCAGGCAGTAATGAACTGCTGTTTTATAAGTTCTGTTTATTAATAACTGGATAATTTCAGTTATTTTCAAAATGCACAGCTTACAGTCTGCTTAGGGTCCTCTGAATGCACTGTGTATGTCTCAACACTGCCCCAGTTTCAGGACAATTGAGGAAGCCCTGGAGAAACAGTGGTTTCCTTTTTTTCTCTTTTACCCCCATATTGTCTTGGAAAACCTAAAGCTTCCAAAAATCAGAAGGAAAATTCCAGGCAACATTCAGACAATTGAGGAGAAGACAGAAAGCACAAACAAATGCTCTGTAGCTTAGTCTGTGCTATAGTTTTATTAATACTTGAAAATTGTCTGTGGCAACAGATAATCTTTTTATTGTTGATTAGATGATTATCTACAAAGGAGAGAACACAGCTGCCTGCATTAAAGCCGTGCTGCCTCACATGAGGAGAGGACATGCTAAGGACACTGTGGGGTTCATACTGTGGGGGGTTTTTTCTTCCCTTTTTTTTTCTTTTTGGAAAATGCATCTCTTTAGACAAAAGTTAGTGAATTGCTAAATTGCTTGTGTAAATAATAATGGGTGGAGGGCTTGGACAACTTAATGACAAATACCCTGATGTCATTTGTTCTTAACCTGTGGTGTAGTCTTGTGTGTTTGTGATAGAGCTAGGGAGAAAAAAAGCTTTTGCTGGAACAYTTAAAAAACCCCCACATTTCTGTGTCCTGCACTGAAAGTGTGCAGCCTGTGGTGTCAAGTCTTATGTCCATTTTGAAGTAATACTCCTGTAAGATAACTTTGCTTTTAAATTCTGCCAGAACAATGGAAAATATTCAAAAACTTGATGAACTTGTCATGTGGTTTTTTTTTTTTTAAGACAACAAAATGCATACAGATGTTGTGGATAAATACAGCACTGTCAACATTTCTCATCCCTCTTCCTGCATCCGCCCACCCCCAGATCATTTGGAAAAAAGCTAACAGATCTGAGTGTAACATTGTGTTGCCTGTTCAAGTGCATAGGTCATTAATGGCATGCATTTAACTTCTCTCCAAAAACATCACTTTTTCTTTGCATAGTCTAATTTGAGTATTTCTTTCCCAAATGAATGTTTGTGGCTTTTTTTTAAACACCCCACCAAGACAACAGGGCAGTGCTGGTGACTTACAAACACTGCTGTACAAATACACGGTGTGTGTTAGGTACAGTGCAGACAGACAAGGAATTGTATTTCCAAAGGCACTCTAGGGAGATTATCCTCCAGTTCCCATTTGACATTTTTGGAGTGTGAGTATGGAACATGCATGCAAATACTTTGCAGTAAGTGCCTGTGATTAACTCTGTCCTTTTCTAGATTTATTTGAACAGGATAGAAGTAGTAAGTGTAGTTTTCTCTTGACAGTAATGAGTAAGAAGCAGGTTTCGTGTCAAGATGGACCATCAGTCACCAAGGCAGGTCAAGGTGSTGATGTGGTTGCTTTGGCTTCTGCACCCTCCAAAGGGTGCAGTTGTTTCTTTTTGTTTAAATCTATGCTGATACAAAGGTAGCAGGGGAAGCTGGGGAGCAATAATGTGTCTTTTTAACTTAACTATCCTGATTTCCAGGGAAGCACCACTGCCCTTTGTGCCACCGGCCTCCGCAACCTGGGGAACACGTGTTTCATGAATGCCATCCTCCAGTCGCTCAGGTACCTGCTGTGCAATGTATTGGGAAGCCACTGAAGTTCTCTCTGTGGATGGGGTCCCCTAAAAGCGAGTGGAGGAGAGTTTCTGAGGTGCTGGGTTACTAGACCTAGTTTCTTCGCTGTGCCAAGACCACCTGCTCTGTAATTGTCCTTTTGTCTTTCTGCGTTTACTTGCTTCATCCRGGGGGACTGTTGAGTCGGGCCATATTAAAACCAACAGGTCTCTCCTCCGTTCTCCCTTCCACCACTCTGGATTTGCTCCATTACAGGGGCTGCTGTACAGGGGACAGAATGAGTGCTCCCCTGGCCCTCCTTAGCAGCTACAGTTTGGTTTGTGAGGGAATGCAGTATGTTGTGGTACCTCTTAGCCAAAGCAGAGCCGAAATGTAGTTATTTCAGGTTGCTGCCACAATGAGCTGTCTTAGAGATTGCTCCCCCATTTAGCGAGCGGGAGTAGAGTGTTCATCTGGCATGAAAATACTTAAAAACTGCTCGTGATTGCCATGTTCTGTCACTGTATGAAGCTGTGGTTATGCATTTCAAAGAACAGGCTCCAGCATATGTAATCTGCTCTGCATTTTCTGCAGAGGAAAAACTTTGCATTCATTTTTTCTTCTATTTCTGTAGTAACATTCAGCAGTTTTGCTGTTACTTCAAAGAGTTGCCTGCTGTGGAGCTGCGGAATGGGAAGACAGCGGGCAGGCGAACTTACCACACCAGGAGCCAGGGGGATAACAATGTGTAAGCTGCATGTTCCTTGTCAGCACTGAACTTTAAGGAAAACAGCAAGTATTTGAGTAGTAAAGGCACTGAACAGCGCCAATGTTGCAGAATCATAGGAAAAAAAAATGATTAATAGACAGCAGAAAAGTAGAAAAATGATTTTCTGTACAAAAAAAGAAACTTGTATTGCTGCCAGTGTGCTCACAGATATCTAATGCTGCTGGGGGAAACAGTCCTGAACATGAGAAAACAGTGACGTATAATTGAATTTAAAATAAGGTTAAGTGCTAGTGACCTGTGCTGCAGATGTATTTGCAAACAGACGCATAAAACAATAACGTGATTCAGGGTCTGTAACTTGCTTGAGCAAGTATTAAAGGGACAACTTCAGCAGAGTTTACAGTAAAAGGGTGAAAGGGAGAGGCAAGTCCTCAATTTATGATTCGTGATCTTCCTATTCTATCCCTCTGCAAGTTTGTAGATCAGATTTTTTTACTTAATCTGACCGGTGTTTTGTCTATTATTTACCCAGTCATTGCAATTTCTAACCAAGGAATTGGCTATGATGCTTTCACCACTGAGTTAGTAAGGCCCTAAAGGTTAGAGCACAGACACATATTCATCACCAGCTTTTGCTTTCTTTCCAGTTCTTTGGTGGAAGAATTCAGAAAGACGCTGTGTGCTTTATGGCAAGGAAGCCAAACTGCATTTAGTCCAGAGTCTTTATTTTATGTTGTTTGGAAAATCATGCCAAATTTTAGGTAAGTTTTGTAGAATTAATACCCTTGATTGTAACCCTATACTGCTTATGTCCTAATCCAAAACTTGCTGCATCCAGGGAACATGTTCTCTGCAACTTTCCCATATCCCCACAAATATGCTTTGGGAAGGACTTTATAATTTGATGTAYAGTTTTGTGTTCATCAGTAGTGCTTTCTTTTCCTGCCCTCCTACCTCATGCTACTTGTAGCAGTGTCAGAGAGAACATCTCCAAGTTTAAGAGCAGTAGTTGTACTACGCTTGAACCAGTGCGTGGCGGGGTAGAAGAACTGAGACAGAGGCTTTGTAGGTAGGTGCCAAGCACGTGGTGCTGGCAGAACCAGAGCTTGGCTACAACAAGAAAATAATGTAGTCAGATTAAAAACCTACAGGTACCGCAGGCCTGAATGTGAACACGCTGGGTAAAACTTCCTTGATTCTCTCCACGTACTGTGGCCGTCACCAGTGTGACATGAAAAAAGGAATGTAAAAAACAAAAACCTTACATGTAATAGGCATTTTTGCKTCCGTCCTGACTCCTCCCACCCACCCCCCCCACACTCCCCCCCCCAAAAAAAGAAAAATAAAGACAATAAAAAAGAAGGAAAAAAGGTTACCCCAGTAAATCAAAGTATCGTTCCTCTCCAAGGTCTCCCTGTCCTGGCCCCTGAACCTCTTTCAAAGGAGCATTGAAACCTGTTAGGATATTTTGTGATGAAGGTAAGTTGCTCCGTGTTCTCAGGTAGTAAAGATGTTATCTGTTACAGCAGTGCTGAAAAGATGCCGTGAACACATCTGCTAGAGGAACAACCCAGATAACAAAAAGCTGTTTATTCCGGACTTCACGCTRCCTAATGTGTTTCACCTGGCTTATGAGAATCAAGGAAGTTTAGTACCCGTAGCTCCAAGCAAAGGCCAAAATATTACAGGCAAATGAACATTATCTTTAATGTCCTGGACCAGTGTCCCCATTATGATCCTCGCCGTAATTGCTCTTACTCTAAGCAAGAAACTGATTTGTGAAGTTCCTCTAGCAAATTTTCAGCACTGTGGATTCCATTGCAGCTTTTTAAAGGAAAAAAATGTGCTTTTTAGAACTTGCTCATTCCCAGTTAAGTGGGACCGTGTCTGTTATTCACTGGTAAGAGGTCTTGTTTCCACTCCAGGACATACGAGTCTGTGTTTTATGATATAATGTGGTGCAATAAATTAAATGGAGAAAAGTGTCAGCTGCTCAATAAATATGTCTCCACTTTCCCATTCCTGCAGGATCTAGGGAGACAGGCAGGTCTTGGAGTGTTTAACTGTGCTRTGCTGTAAAAGTTCACAGGGCTGCTGTTCCAGTTCTGCCTTGTAGGCTCTTTGTGAGGCTGGAGCAAGGTCGGAGCCGGCAGCACGTTAAGAGCAAACCAGCTGATGTTTTGTAGTCTGAAATGCCTCAGTGATGGGGGCACCTTTATGGAAACTTGGTTTCGTTGTTGTAGCCCAAAGAGATTTCACTCATTAAAGGCATGTGTCTGCCTTGGGGAGTTAAAGTGCTGTTTTTCTTATAGGTTGTCTTATGCAGATCATTATGGGGAGGGAAAAAAACGCTGTTGATGCACTTTATGGCCCTCTGTCTCATAACGCATGTAGGAAGTAGAGAGTAGAGCCTGGAGTCTTTTACGTGTGTTGTGAGCACAGCTGGAGCGACTGTAGGTTCTGATGGTGCCGTGCGAGCCCTGAGCRCTGGCTCCGCGGCAGCGACGGCCGCTGGGCTGGTTGTGCAGCGCGCGGCGCTGCCTCGCTGCGCTTGCCAGGAAGAGCTTGCTCCGTTGTCCCAGTAATTCCTCCCGTTTGTGTCCTGCCCTGCTGCCYGTGGGAGAAGGAATGTCAGAAATGGGCTTGAGTCGAGCTGGTGCAGGTACTCGGAGATCACAGGAGCTGCCTGTTGGAGAAGCTGCCCTTCTTACTTGAAGGGCCTTTTGATCGCTGCTTATTTTGCACAGTTATATGGTCAATACCGGGGTGTTATTTTGAGATGTGCAGCTATATTTATGCTTTGTAACGAATTCCAGTCTCATTTATGAGTATAGCATTTGTATGCATGGGCAAGCACACCCATCAGGAGCACAGGCACCCGTGTGCTGTGGCACCAAGGGGTGTCTTATCATGTTGCCATATTACTAGAGAGCTTTTCTGGGGAAGTTAATGTAAGAAAGAATTAGCATTCCTTTGTGGGGCCCGGGACAAAGCCTTTCCATACATTTCATGTTTTGGCTGTTCCTTATGAATCTCTAGATGTTAAAATGAGGATACCAGTATTAAATCAACTAAACAAATCCTGTGTGAACTCTGTGACTTGTAACTTAACCCTGTTGTGTTTACAGCTGGCCTGGGCCTGTGCAGCAGGTTTCTGCTTTACTGCCTTATTTCATAGCAATGTACAATTGCATTGCAGCWGGGGGAGAACAGAGTCCTGCTGCAGGCTGTGCAGGACTCCGGTCTGTTGAAGCCCATGGGTTTTTCTGTGTGCCAGTTCCTCACCGTTGTAAATGAGGGTGGAGATATCGATGTGTTTTCAGAGTGTACGTGGCGCATAGAAGCCAAGGGTGGATTCTGGTAATGTCTGTGCTCGGCAGCAGCTTTTTAGGTGTCTTTTAGAGATGGTTCCCCAACTAAGAAAGCATTTGCTAACTATCAGAGTCATGCATTAACTCTGTACTTTTGGAACACGTGCTTGATGGTGATTATAATAAACCTAAACCACTGTAGTGAAATACTTAGGGAGTATCGGAAGAGGAATATTTTGTTTCCTTGGYCCTTCACGTGGGTACCTTGTACCCGGAAACAAGAAACAGTGCAGCTTCACTGAATGGAAAGGGGAGGCAGCTCCCTCCTCTGGGGCCTGCAGAGACTTGTGCAGGTTCGTGTCGCTGTCGCACGAGGCTTTCAGTGTTCCCTTGTGCGTATTTTCCTGCCCTGTCTCGGAGAGCTGTGTGAGGGTCTCACAGCAAATGAATGCTCGTGGCTGCTGAGGCGCCAGGCATGCCTTAGCTCGAGGAACGTTAAGGACCTCCGTTCCCTGCCAGTGGCTTTGATGGGGCGAGCTGGTGGTGGCCGTGCTRCAGAGCTGGCCCCAGAAGAGGGGAAAACCCTCTTTGTTCGGAATTAGTTGGGAGTTTGTTGCTGCTGGAGGGACACGAGTCCTGGGGCTAAAAGCCCTTGTTGGGTTGGCCAGGGAGAGCCGCCAGGCAGGAGGCTTTAGGGTCAGGAATGTGGCGGTGGCAGCGTCGGAGCGGGGCTGGAGGAGTTGCTCTCCATGGGACCCACAGCTGGTGATGCAGTCACGTGCAGCCAGTAACCGACACCCAAGAGGATGAAGAAGAGCCGGGGAGGATGAAGAAGAGCCGGGGAGGATGGCTCCGTGTTGTGTGAGGGAGGAGAGGCCGCTGCTCCCGCTGGGCATTTCTGTTGATTTATGTGCGTCAGAACTGGGGTGTTGCTGGCACAGGCAGCTTTTCCTGAGGCTGATAATGAGGCAGCCACGTCTAAGAGATTATGTGAGCAGTGCCCTCTGCTGATTGCTGAAAAGTCTCCTGCTTTGAACAAACCCACCAAATAAAAAGGAAAAAAAAAATCAAAAAGAGGAGTGCAGAGAGAKAGATCTGCAAAGAACAGGGCTCCCTCATCTTGTCTTGACAGGCTAATTGGAAAATATTCCTGGTACAAACTAAACCCGTCTCTGTAAATTGGGCTGGGTGCTACCTCAGGAAAGGCTCCGTGTCGCAGCCGGCGCTCGTGGTGACTGTTGTTGCCCTTCCCGTCTCCGCAGGGGCTACCAGCAGCAGGATGCCCATGAGTTCATGCGCTACCTTCTGGACCACCTGCACCTGGAGCTGCAGGGGGGCTTCAACGGCGTCTCCCGGTCCGTCATCCTGCAGGAGAACTCGAGCCTGTCCGCGAGCAACAAATGCTGCATGTAAGAAAGGTTTAACTTCCTCGACATCCTAATGCCCCTGCATGGGTTRGTGTGGTGTGGATGTGAAGTTAAATACACGAATGCTTTTGTTTTTTTTTTTTCTTTAGAGTTTCCTTAACACTGTAAGTTAGAAAGCTGATCTTAAATTAGTATTTTACATTTCAGTTTTGTTAGACTTTAAGTCCATTTTATAATCTGCCACAGCGCTCACAGGACTAATAAAAGCATAGAGAACAAGGCTAATGCGTATCCTACTTACTGTATCCCAGTGTAACTGAGGTTGGAGGCAGTTAATGGGAGAAGTGCAGCCCTGTATTTTSGAAGTCAACTAGTTATAATAAAGCAGGGTGAAGATTTGAAATAAAACTATCCTTGACCTCCCTAAGAGGGGAAAAAAGGGGATTTAAAACTGCTTTTCAGGAACAGCTCCTATTATTGGGTTAAAACACAGTATGGAAATGCTGTCTGCCTGTTTATCTCTCTTTGAACACTGCAGTGCTTGGGGCACGTGCACTTGATGCTTTTTGCAGGATACAAGTTCAARCAGAAGTATTCTAACAACTAATTACTTGCTGTGTGCAGTTCTGGGATAAATGAAGTGCYCAGGGCTGAACCTAAGTGAGTGTTGGTTACTAGACAGAGCAATTTGGTCCATACATGGCAGTGACTTGTTCGGAGTAGAGATGTACTAGATATTTATTTCTGACTGCGTCTTCCTCTGGTTTGTTTAGAAATGGAGCTTCTACTGTTGTCACAGCAATTTTTGGAGGCATTCTTCAAAATGAAGTCAACTGCTTAATATGTGGGACTGAATCTAGAAAGTTTGACCCATTCCTAGGTAAGATGCTTTAAGTGTTCAAATGTATTGGGTGAATTAAAGTAGAAATAAAGAAATTGGAAACTTGACACATTTTTTTGATTTTACATTGTTGAACCAAGTCTTAGCCTGAAAAGATAAAAGGCAAAGTTTTATTCTACCCTAAATACTTTTTTGTATGTGTTTTTCTAGACCTTTCACTAGATATTCCAAGTCAGTTCAGAAATAAACGTACTAAAAATCAAGAAAATGGACCAATGTGCACACTACGAGGTAAGAGTGACTGGAGAGGTGACATCATTAACAGGAGTGAGCCCAAAGCTGTTAATGTCAGGAGAGCCAGGATTTAACTAGGACCTGACCTCTTGCCATCTGCTGTCTCATTTTGTGAGATGTTCTAGTGGAAGAAGGTGCCAGAATAATTTTCTGGGCAGGTTTTTCCCCACTCGGTGTGTACTGACAAGCTGCTGCAGTGAAGTGGGGCTGGGAGGTGCTCTGGGCTCCGCGTCAACTCGATCCCGAGGAAGCAGCAGGAGTTTCCTTGTGATGAGACTGTTTGTGATACGATGCAGTCTTTCCAAAGCAAGAGCTACATGTGGGTCGTGATGTAGCTGTAGTTTTTAGTGCTTAAAAATGCGTTTTGAAAAGCATGGCCTGCTTTTTAAAATGCTGTAAATACAGTGCAGGCCAGGTGGCTGCTGAGGCTTTTGACCTTGGTTTATTGGATGTTAATTTCTACAGGTTTGTAAATGTATTTGCTGAGAACTGTCAACTATTTAGTGGTCAAAAACGGTTGTTGCTGTTCCTTTTTCTTCTTCATTTAAAGATCATTGAGTCCAACCGTAAGTTTGAAGTTCCTAACTTCTAAAGGGTTTTAAGGAACAAGGAGCTCTGCATGCTACATCATGTTAATGTTTTATTACATAGTTGGAGCTGTTCTGCTGCTCAAACATACAGTGACATTAACCAGAATGGCTGAAGCGTCAGTGATCTTCTGTATTTTGCTGCATTTGGTGTTTCAGAAGTCACTTGAAGTCATCTTGAGTTAGGGTTGTGTGTTTTGCAGACTGTCTTCGCAGTTTTACAGACCTGGAAGAACTTGATGAGACAGAGCTCTATATGTGCCATAAATGCAAAAAGAAACAGAAATCCACCAAAAAATTCTGGATTCAGAAACTACCAAAGGTGTGTATATGCTTAAAAGTCACAGCTTGGGAATGTGTCAAGGGAAATGGCTGCCCAGCTGTTACTGGAAACCAGTGCAGAACTGGCCCATTGGCTACTGCTGATGTTTGACAGGCAGTTCAGTTTACTCCTCTAACATATCTTTTTCTTTTGCCTCCCCTATAGGTGCTATGCTTACACTTGAAGCGATTTCACTGGACAGCATATCTAAGAAACAAGGTTGATACATACGTTGAGTTTCCATTACGAGGCCTGGACATGAAATGCTACTTACTAGAGGTATGGAGACACTCGCTGATATCTCCTGTAGATGGACGTTSCACTGTGTGTGCCTTTATTAACAAATTGCAAATTTAATTTTAGTCATTTCGTAGTCATTTCAAATCTGAAGAGTTTTKCTCTCTTTTTTTTAATTGTAGCCAGAAAACAGCGGCCCAGAAAGCTGCCTGTACGACCTTGCAGCCGTGGTTGTGCATCATGGTTCAGGGTGAGTACACGGAGTGAGGCAGCTTGTGCACAGAAACCTTCTTCCCCTTGAAGTACATGCTGCCACACTTGAGGTTTTCTGTCTGTAGTGAATGTTGTCTGTGTTGTCACTAGTGAAAATCAGCAGTTTTTAAATTTAGCTGGGAATGAGCTGCATTAACTTCAGGTGGATTTATAGAACCAATTCTAGGAAGCCTGTATTGGCAGTCTGTCTTTGGGACTGAAAGGGGGGCATCTAATGAAAATTGCTCATTCCTGCATTAAAGCAACAGAGCTAGTGCTTCACTTTGTTCTTAAGACACAGAAATAGTTTGTCCGCTAGTCTGAAGGGCACGTGATGGTTATGTCGAACGAATTTTGTGTTTGGAGCAAGTACAGAGAAATGGAGATGACCGCAGTGAAAGCAATTGCCCTGCACTTACCTTCTTGCTACAGCAGTGGCCCTTGTGGAAGCTGTAGGCCCAGCCCCAGGCCACACTCGTGTTTGTGGTTTGGGGAGTGGGGTCTGTCATATGTTGCCCAACCCTCGACTTAGACTTAGAGAGTAAGAGTAGAGACAAGATAAATGTCTAGGAAAAAATTATGTAATCTATTCTTGCCATTTAGGAGCTCACTTTATGAAGGTGAAGCCAAGAAAAGTTTTTTTTAATGAAATAAAGTCACTAATCAAAACACTTTTCATTCTTTTGATGTAATTCTAAGATGTTTTAAAAGTTCAGTCCAGAAAGCCCTGCTTTTTGCTTTTTTTCTAGAATAATGGTCTGAACTTCCAAAAGAAGACCATAGTATTTGACTTGAGTATTTTAGGAACTCTCTGTTGCACAATTGTGCATCTCTACTGGTGCTTCTAACTCCTAAGAAAATCAAATATACAGAGAGTCAATGAAAGCAGCAGCTCTTACCTAGGGCACACAGCTGAGGAGGAGGGCGATGTGGGCAGCCTTTGCAGAGGGCCCCCAGATCCTCTCCAGCCCTGGCTGCTGGAATTCTCTTAGTCCCTCATTGCTTAGCAGGGGGTGCATGAGGCACTGAAAAGCTGTACACGCCTCCTCCTGACTGTTGTCTTCCCCGCTCCCCTTTTGTCTTTTCCTCCCTCCCCGTCCCGCTCCCAGTGTCGGCTCTGGACATTACACGGCCTACGCGACGCACGAGGGGCGCTGGTTCCACTTCAACGACAGTACTGTAACGCTGACCGACGAGGAGACCGTGGTGAAGGCCAAGGCCTACATCCTCTTCTACGTGGACCGGCAAGCCAAGCCTGGATCAGATAAACTTTAATACCTCCTCCTAATTCTCACTTATCAAGTCCACGGGACAAAACATTTCCATTTCTCCATAAATACTTGATCCAAGACTATTAATTTCATTGTGCACTTTTCAATTTCCTCTTGTGGGTTTTAGTTTTGTTGTGTCGATGGTAGCATTTGACTTACTGAACTTGGACACAAACTAACTTTTTTTTTTTTTAGTTATACCAGAAAACCTCAGCAGATTTTGATTTGCTGCTTTAGTTGTGATAACTCAATTTTTATATATATAGTTTAATGAAATAGTTATTTGACTTTTTTATATTAATGTTTTCAGTTCTCACTTTTTAAAGGCACATTTACATCAGAGAAGCTTTCTGTCCTCTTTGCAAGAAAGATTAAATGTGCTCCTGATTWCCAAGAGCAATACAACCTCATGCTGCTCTCACAGCTGTTATGTAGATAGGATTTAATCTCTTTAAATCAAGGAATTATTTGCACCTGGCATTTTCCCCTGTGCACAAATCCTAACAGTGACCTCTGAGCAATCATTTATTATCTGCGAAAGAGATGAGACAGCATCATTAAATAGCCCAGGTCATTGCTGCTATCGGTGTATATTCAGGCTGCTGACTTTCAGGAATCATTGTAAATAAATAGTTGGTTCAGTTGTATCTGTACTGCAGATTAATTTGGGTGTTCCTCACATAAGCTTTTCCTTTGCCCCTTCAATTTTTTTAAAAAAATTATCTTAAAATACATACATGTCTTAATTGTATTGAGATTTTTTTTAACAAGCCTGCCAAAGGCTTCTCTGTAGCTTTTGATCCTGAAATTTGATCACAATTGTTTTAAAACTCGGAGACTTCTTGGCCCTGGGACCCCAGCCCTTTTGTGTGTGTGGCGGGGGGGAACCTGCTTAACCTTGACCACAGGCTGCAGTCTGCTCCAACCTGACCGAGAGGCACGGACTGCCAGAGGCTTGGGGTGAGTCTTGCTGTGCTAATCCCAATGCAGCCTGTAAAGGGGAGAGCCCCAGTTTCACACACGTGAGGATTTACAGCAGGGCGGGCTGATGGGAGCCACGTAGCCAAGGCTTCTTGTTAATGGAGCAGTGAAATAGCTCTAATAGTTACTTACCAGCCCRGGGTGGGTTTTTTGGTTTTGTGTTTTTCTTCTTGAATAGTCTCCAGACTTAAGTTTGGAGGATTGCTGGGATTTCTATAAACTGTGTCATGGAAAAGGCTTCACTTTGAACTTAAATTTTAGGCATATTGCTGATGTTTTGAATAGTGGAAGTCAAACCCTCTCAGTAATGCTGTACTATAAAATGCAGATGCAAGAACCAATGTTGCAAAACCTGGGAGGCCAGAAAATATGAAGTTTTACAAATAGAAATGTCCTGTACTCTCAGGGCTTGGGGATAAGACTAGAATTAACTTTACACAGACCTATCAGAACCAAACAGCATCTCCTAGTTATGGTCCCACCATGCAGGGTTCTTTGAAAGCAGGCAATAGTTCAGGTAAAACAGGATGCCCTTTCCAAGGACATACATAATAAAAGGGGCCCCAAAGCTCCAGCTGATACCCACCTATTCCCTGTTGCAGGGATACCTACCAGCTATAATGACAACTGCAAACAAAAATCACACAAATGTTGTTTAAATAGCACTCCTCGTGGCTTAAACCAGGGCCGAGACTGGCCTTGTATAAAAGGGCAGAAAATGCTCACCTTTATCAGCCCTGCTGTATATGAATACCTGAACTATGCACTAGCTAAAAATTAGATGCATTTAGCTACACAGACACAGAAGGATGTTTCCTCTTTTGTTTTCCCTTAAGTGGAATAGAATTGTTCATTGAATTGTTCATTGTTTTAAATTGTAGGCAGGCCTTCATCCACCGTTGTCCAGTTTCCTGCAGCCAGGCAGCACCTCTGCTCCATGGGACACTAGCTGTTATTTGGGGCTGCAGGAAAAGGTACCTGAGGGACTTCATCAGCACGTGGGACAGGAGAGGGATCCTTTAACACCTTCATACCGTCAACGGCAGCCCTACTGCGCACATCTGAGGCAGCTGAATATGTCCAGCGGTGTTTGCCTTGTGTCTGCACGCTGCTTCAGTTGGATTGCTTTAAAAGTTTAGGTTTTTTTCAGTAGAACAACTATTAAAATGCACRACTAGCCATGGCTGCAGGCAGTTTAACTTGCAGTAGCCAAGTGACCCCCCCCCTTGCAAACCCGTGATGTAAATGTGCCTTTGTGTATGTTTAGGAACGTAAACTTGTAAGCTTCATCAACATTCACTTATTTTAAGCAGCTTCTACTTTTCCAGTTCTTTTCCTTTCTCTCTTAATCAAATTAATGGTCTCACTTCAGTGTTTTCTTTCAGTAACGTGTAACAGTGAGGTCTTGGGCCATGGCCCCCAGCAATACGGGAACACGATGCAATCACGTCAGGCTCGGTCCTGCAGCAGGTGCTGACGCCGACTCGGCCACACGCTGTGCTGGAACCAGGGCCTTGCAAAGCCTTTCCTAATTTAACTTGCTCCCACTGCAAACCCAGATGGACAGTATGAACAGTTTGTTGTGGCAACACAAATATTTCTCTTCCTGGTGGAGAACTTTGCTTATCCACTGTATTCTATTCAGTGTGGTGTCAAAAAAAAAAAAAAAATGTAACTGAGCACTGAACCAGTAACATATACTGCACCTGGCCTAGTATTACATTTTTAATCTTACTTGTATATCCTATATTTATCTACTAGCTTGTGGGAGGGGAGGGATATCTGATTTCATTTAAGCCAAATGTTTCTTTTCTACTTACTGCTGATCATAGTACACCCTCACGGGCAAGAATTTTTTCTCTTGCTTGTGACTGCTCTGCAAGAAGCAACTGCTCTCTACAGTTCAGACTTGCGTATTTTTTCACCAAACTCCTCCTGGAAGGTTGTCCTTTTGTTAGTCGTTGTTCAGCCATGTATGCAACTGGAGCCATGATTTCTGTAAAACAAAACTGCAAAATTGCCAGCTCTCACTAGTGCTTTGCTGCAGTGTGTTCTGAGCATTTTAGTGCACAAGGATGCAGAGCTCCAAGGCACGAGGAGGGCGAGGGTGGGCAGGAGGTGCTGCTCCGAGGGGCCAGGGATGKCAGCAGGGGAGCTTCCACCTTTCACAGGGACAGACAGGGAAAAGTGGACTTGTACGAGAGGCAGGAGGCCATTTCTAAGGATTTTGCTAAATGGATGGACCGCATAACCCCTGTTTCCCCATCTGTGTTTCATTACTGATGTGTCTGTGTCTTACTGATGAGGTAATCGGCACCTTGACAACTGATTCCAGTATGTGCTTTAGGATGTCCTCGAGTACTGTAGTGCCATAGCTGTAATTGTTTACCATTAAAGTCTAGTGTGTACGTCTCGGTGAGGGTCACTGACTGTGCTCATCTGGCGTGTGGTTAGAGCATTTCCAGGATGAATGCAAGTTCTCTCCTTCACGCAGTGTGTTTATGCAAAATGTGCCATTAAAGTGTCTCCTTCCCTTGCAGAATAAACTCCTCTTGTCCTTGCACAGCTATCAAAATACTCAAGTAGTGAATTCCCTGTACAGGGAGTCCTGTTCAACCTCCATGGAAAGGGGGCACCCGCAATCAAATCCAAATGTTCACCTATCCCAGCAGTGGGACCCACTGCTCCTTCTCAAAGGGTGGGTGGCTGGCTGCAGTTTTGCAATATTTGCTCCACCTTTAAGTAGTCCTGACTATTTCCAGGTGCTGAAATGCCAAGGTAAGTGCTGAGGAAGAGAAGAAAGGAGGCTGGTCACAGAACCCAGCAGCACCAGTGCAGGTACCAGCCTGGGTGGGGGGGATCTCTCCTGCACCCACTTGTGCTGCCCAAGCAGGGAGCAGGGAGGGCAACAGGGGCCACCTCCTTATTCTGAGGGAACTATTTAATGAGGAAGACTTGAAAACAAGGACTGACAGCCACTAAGCAGCCATCTATAACAGAATATTACCCTGAAGACCTACCGCGCTCCTTGGCTCCTCCTCTGCATCCCTATGAAGTACAAATGACACTCGGGCCTTGCTCTGTCGGAGTCCAGTTCCGTCCTTCTTCCTGAGCCTGCACTTGCTTAACTGCACTTTCAGCCCTGTCCTTACCTGAAACAAACCCAACTCAAATGCAGGGGTAGAGGGAAAAAATAAATAAAAATATTTTTAAAAAAGTGTTAAGTAAAAGGTGTATTATTTTTCCTGTAGAAGCTAGCAATGTAATTTCATAAACATCAAAGTTGTGGAGCTGTTCATGGTTACTTCTAGTTAATTTTACTCCTCTATTTGCTTTATTTTTTCTCTACCATTGCTGCTACATTATCTCCAATACTGCAAAACAAAACATTTTTATTCATAAACATCCATCCCTGTCTCCTTTTTCCGATCTAAGAAGGGAACTAAAGCTACACCACCATAAGCACTAAAATAAAACCTGTAAAATTCAAGCTCATAAAGCTAATAAAAGCATGTGCAGCCCTACAACACTTGCCCCTGTTCCGGGATAATCCTCCTTTCCTGATGTCAAGGGTAGAAGAGCCCGGGAGCAGAGCCAGGAGGCTGCCCCTATAGTTAAGGCCGGGTGCCAGGAGCTGCAGCCTGACCCGGCGCCTGCTTCAACACCCGGGAACTCGGGAATCTCTCGCTAGGAGCTGCAGGGGACAGTGCACGAAACACCCCTCACAGAGGGGCTCCTTCCAGGCGCTGCCTGCCTGTGGGCTCCACAAATGCCTGCAAGGAAAACGAGCCCTTTTAAGGAAGCGTCTCAGGGAGCTGCAGGGCTCATTCCCAGCCCCTGCTGCAGCACAGCAACTGTTGGTGCACACACACACACACACACACAGTCCTCACCCGCTCCAGGCCGAGCTCCTGCTCCAGCAGTTGGCCAAAAATAAGCACCATTCCACAGCCATATAAGTGCAACGGCCTCCGGGCGCCCGCGGCTCCCCAGCACGCGCCGGCAGCGATGCACATAACGCAGCTCAACCACGAGTGCCTTTTACATCTGTTCTCTTTTCTGGACAAAAACAGCAGGAAAAGTTTGGCAAAAACATGTCTCCAAATGCTGCGAGTGTTCCAGGATCCTTTACTGTGGCCGGTGCTGAACTTTCACTCTCCAGCAGAGCTGAAGAAGGATAATTTTCTCCTGGGACCTGCTCTAAAGTACTTGTCCATCTGCTGGCACTCACAGCAAGTCAAGGTGTGCAACATCGAGGACTGGCTGAAAAACACCTTCCAGAAGGACTTCTGTTACAAGCATGAAAAGACTGTCAGTGACTTTTTACTACAGGTTTGCGACAGGTACGTTCTGTGGGCATGACCCTGGACATTTAAGAGAAGGGTAAGAGCAGCCTCGCGAGGAGGGCAAGCAGTGAGTACCTGCATGGCTGGGTGTTTAATAGAGAGGCTATGGGGTTTAGTGGGAATAGTCAATCTTTTTATTGCTTTACTGAAATTCCTCACCTATCATCTTTTTTAATAATACCAGAAAATGCAATACTGGCTACTAATGACATGCTCTTTAACTAACCGGTGCTGTTCTGGCAGCACGACCTGCGTTGGGGGCAGGATCTCCTTCCTTCCAAAAACAAGTTCATGACCCACTTTGTTACTAATCCCCAACACAGTCGACAGCTACACTACAGCACGATACCTCTATGTGTCTTTCTAAGCTACAAAACTGGTGCTCTTGGGGGTTAGCAACCCCTCTTGCTGCGCTTACGTTACAGGGTAGGGCACTAAAGCAGCTGTAGGGCCATCCCATAAGGGATGGTCGTGTCCCCGTGCCCGGTCCCTGTGCAGCCGGCTGTGCGGGGTGGGTAGACGGCCCCGCTGGAACTAACAGCTTTTCAAACCCTGCCACGCAGCGGGTGACAGAGCACAGGCTGCTGCAGGACAGCCTCAACCCACACCGAAACGCAGGCTCAGACCAGGCCGCAAGGTCAACGCACAGAACTGCACCAGTAGCTGCTCTCCATCTGCTCCAGAGCAAGGGCCTGTTGGGAAAGACGCCTCGCTGCAGAGGAACCGCTCCACAGTCACCCAGGGCCACGCACAGTGTCCTGAGGTGGCGGGAGCAGGACACGGCTCTGCACAAGGGGTTACTATTGGGGGGCTCCCTCGGCAGCACCCCCAGCCAGCCCCACAGGCAGGGCCCACAGGGCCTGACACAGCAGGACCTGCCTGGCTCCCAACAGCTTCACCTGGGCACATCACTATGGCCATTGCCCCTACTCTGTGCAAAGCAAAAGCCACATTAGGGGACGGTCAGTAGCTCGAGCTCCACTGAGCTTACAGTATTTTAGCTCTGTTACCCTCAGGCCCTGGGCTCGGAGAAGGGCGACCCTGGTTCTCTCCTTAGGAAAACACCAACACAGCTGGAGCCTCAACAGGCACCACGTTCCCTTCCTCCACTGCCAGCTGAGCTGCAGCTGTGACCAGCGCAGAATCRCTGCCTATAAATCACGGTTAAATCTTCAGGTTAGTAGAACTGTGCAGTAAACTCTATAAAAGCCAATATTTAATTCCCCCCACAGAAAAGGTGGTATTTTTCTTTGATTTCTATGACGACGGTGCTTGAAGACGCTACGCTGTCCAAACGCTGCTCATTGCTCACGTTACCCCGCTCACCTCTAACACTGACCGTGCTGCTTCCAGGTGTCCAAACCTGCTCTCGCTGACGCTCTCGGGCTGCGGCCACGTTACAGACGACTGCATCTCGCTGCTTCTGCAGAGCTGCCCGCGCCTGGAGACGCTCGAGCTGGAGAACTGCGTGCGGGTGACGGACGGGACGCTGGCGGCCGCGGCGCTGCACGGGCGGGCGCTGCGCACGCTGCGCCTCGACTTCTGCCGCAACGTCACGCGCAGCAGCCTCCAGGGCCTGCGGGAGCGGCGGCCCGCGGTGGCCCTGAGCGCCGAGCGAAGCGCCAACATGATCCCCGACAGCAAGCCAGGAAAAAGGTTCCTGCTGGAAAAAGCGGCCAGGAAAGCGGTGCAGCTTTAACTGGACAAGCTGCATCGGGGGCGGCGCGGCCCGTCCGCTCCAAATCTGGATTTGGGGATCTGGTGGATCCGTCTCCATCCGGAGCCGTCCCGKTCTGCTTCGTGAAGCTGGAAAGTTCTGCATTTCTGCACAGGAGCTGCTTCAGGCTGCAACACTGCRACTCTGATACCTTTGTGGAAGAGTGGGAGGGAGCAAAAGCACCTTGGGCAAGTCTTGGATCAACCCCAGTTTCAGGGAAAGCCTGACTGACAAATTCCTGCGAGTGGAGACACAGCTCACAGGGCAGGCCCTCACTCGGGGGCGCAGCCACTGCCTGTGGGATCCTTCTGGCAACCCCCCCTTTCCTGGGAATCCCAACTTGCAGCTCATCTGTCAGGCTTATTTATTAAGTGGGCCTCCATAAGGTAGCCTGCACAAACCACTATTTGATCCTTTGCGTTTTCACAGGCTAAACTTCAACTTATTTTTTAAAAAAATGGCATTAAAGCAGGCTAGCTGACAGAAATGAGCTACCTGAAAACGCAGACATTTACAACCCGTAAGTAACACAACTTCAAATACTGAACTGGGAAAATGCTACAGCAACGACATCTGTAAAAACAGCCATTTGTCACTGCTAGAGTAAAAGCACCAGCTGTCTGCACCCAAACCACCAGCCGGACTCTCCTGCAAGCTGCTCTGCCCCATGGAAATGACACCCACTTTCTCGGGAAGGGCTGCYCCAGCAGGGTGTGCACCAAAACAGGACCTCCAGGGGTGGTACAAGTTTGCTCTGCTGTTTAAAATTTACCTTGATGCAGCACATGGGGACTTGCTCGCAGTGTCGAGCAGCTCCTACCAGCAAGGAGAGGTGCCAAGGTGCCCCTACCAATTCCACGCAGCTGGCCTGCAGGAAGGTGAACGTTTCCGTGTGTGAATGTTTCCCTGTGCTACAGTGGCTGTTTAAATGTGTCACCTGGGGAGCTGGTCAGTCCAAGGGCTTCTACAGCCCGGAGGAAGGACCGTCTCAGGGCTCGCTGGCACCACAGGGGCCGTTTTAAGAAGCACCACCTCACACCGCACCTCACCTAGATGAGCATGTCCCATCACATCCATTCTGTGCAGCCAGCAACGTTCCTGGTGCTCCACTCCCGGAGAAGCCCGCCACGAAAGCCCAACCTGCACCTCCACGGGGACTCTGCACCCCAACTAACCTTCACCCAAGGGCTCCTCTCCCATTCAACACAACTCCCTGAAGAGCTTCAAACCTCCGACCCTGACCGTGGGCAGATCGGGCTACCGAYGGCTTTGCTTCTCCTACAGGAGCAGCTGCCAGCACGCTCCCAATCCCAGCTTAATTCACACTGAAGGCTACGGCCAAAAGCTTTCAACAAAAGCCTATAGAATGTAGGAATACCCCAGTATTTAAATTTAGAAATATTAACCTTTGGAAAACACTGTTGTGTCCCGTGTCTCTGTTCCATGGCACAGCAGCTACTCACTTCACCGCAGCAATGTAAGTGCACACGCCACAGTAAATCCCACTTTGGCTTCCAYGAGGTGCTATGTATTGGTTCATAAATACACAAACTGCAACTTGCATCACTGGAATTTGAATATATCAAGACTACCATGATTGTAAATAATTGTTTTGCTTTGCTGCATTTTTACAGTTGGAAATGCATCCACAGGTATAGCTTTGCAGAYTTAGGTTTTGTTAATCACTTGTCTGCATTTTAGTCTCTCTCATATAACTGGAATATTACAGGAGCTAATGTTGCTTATGAGCAACACAACTAACTGGCAAATTATTTAAGGTTGCCATGAATATCCAACACGGCTTTTTTTTTCTTAGAGAATGAGGTGTACCCTCTCTTAAAAGATATATGGAAAAACTGCTATTCAAATAAAGCAGATTTCCACCTTTCACTGGCATCTAAACTGTAGAAACAAGTTCAGAATTTAGAGTTGAGTTATTTACAAATACTGGGTTTGATTTTCCAGTTTCTCACTGTATTAGTTTTATTACATTACTGCACCTTTTATTAAAGTTATATGGAGAAGTATTGCTTTAGGTATCATAATGTAGAACTCATACTTTAGCTCTGATGCCTCAGGTAGTCTTGAAATAAAAATTTATTTCAACTGATGTGTCATTTTTCCTTCATGTTTGAGGAGAAGGAAAAGGAATATGGTATCACAAATCCACTCAAAGCCAATTCCTACTGCAAAAGTAGAAATGCAAAACTGCATTTCCAATTATTTTCCCTAAGAAGTTTCAATCTCAGCAGAAATATTCTTATAAACTGTATTCCTAGGGCTTATTATTTCCTCTGCAAGAGCCGATTAACAAGCTACATACTCCTGAAATGTGGAGCAAAAAACAATGGAAAGAGGATTTCACAGCTTTCAACGTTAATGAAAATACTTACTCCTCCTTTCCATCCTGGTTTATTGCTCCACAGATATCCTTTGGTACTTGCATAATTTGGCTGAGCTACAAAATAAATCACAGCATTACCAAAACTTAGTGAAACAGACCTGTAAATCTAGCATAATATCCTGTCAGAGCCATAAGAAACTCTCACCCCGGAGAGACATAAATCATTTATTGCTTTATCCTCACAACCTGGTGATACTTCAGTATTCTCCTTTTCCTAGAATTTAAGTAGTGCCCTTATGCACTAAAAAAAAAAAAGGAACAAAACTGGAAACATCCCTGAAGAAAAAAGGCAAAGAGCAGTCCCAAAGCAGCACCCGCAAGCTGGAAAAGGGACAGCCAAGCTAAATAAGCTGCCTGGGAATGGGGAAACTGCAATGCTGACACACGCCTCACCTTGAACATGCTGCTATTTGTGCCCGGAGGAATAACAGGTTTCACCTATTGCTGCTAGGCCTAAGGAAGGTGTGAACCCACAGCTCTCTGACCTGTGCTGATGCCAGCTCTAAGTGCTTTGAGACGATGTCTTCCTCCAGAAAGGCTAGATCTGGCACCTAGYAGGTTTTCAGCTAGCCCCAAAATATGAAAGAGGACTCAACTCTACTGCTGCAGCCCTGGAAGGCTGAGGGTTCATCCAGCCAAAGCACCAGGGTCACCTCTGGCCTGGGCCTAGCTGCTCATCTACACCTACCTGGTACAACGGGCTGGCTGGAAGTGGATGCACTTCCAAGCAACAAGTCCCRGCGTGTAAACAGGGAAGGAAGTGGCTGGAAACACCAGAGGGAGCAAGAGAACAAAATATCTGATCTGAGGAGGAATGGGACAAATACTACATCAGAAGCAACAAAAGCAATGTTTAACAACAGGCACAGGCTTTTGGGGATCACAGTGTTTTCCATGTAACGCCTACCCAGAGGGTACTTTCCTGGCAGAAACACAGGACCACAGAACAGCTGAGGTTGGAAGGGACCTCTAGAGATCACCTAGTCCAACCCCCTGCTCCAGCAGGGACACCCAGAGCATGTGGCACAGGGCGGCAKCCAGGTGGGTTTTGGGGATCTCCAGAGCAGGAGTCTCCACAGCCTCCCTGGGCAGCCTGTTCCAGGGCTCTGTCACCCTCACAGCAAAGAAATTCCTCCTCACATGGAGATGGATCTGCCTGGGTTTCAACTTACACCCATTGCCCCTTGTCCTGTCACTGGCCACCACCGAGAAGAGCTTGGCCCCTTTCTCCCCACATTCACTCTGCCTTGTGCAGCAGCTCCAGGGTTGCTACAAGACACCAACTTGTGTTCCCTGCACGTATCCAATACCCATAAAATGACAACGCTAGWGATGTGGCAGATGGTCTCCAAAGCAGGGCAGGATCAGGGCTGAGAACTCACTGTCTGTCTGTAGGTCTGTCTGTGTAAGGAGCCTCGCGCAAGACTCCAGGTTCGAAGCAGCAGAAAAAGCGCCMGGGAGCAAGGGTGAAAAGAAGGATCGTTACAGTTATCGTTATGGTGAAAACAAACAGAAGGGTAAAAATAAAAAAGAATTAAGCATTTTGATAGATTTCATCGTGCCAAGATAGAAAAATTCAAAGGAGAAGCAGAATAAGAGAGAAGTCTCAGTTAAAGAAGCTAAGCACAATCCTTTAATCGACATGAATATTTACCAGGATCAACATCTTGATACACTTTACTGCAAGCTGCCTCCAAAAATACCCTCGCTCCCCACAAATCAAACTCCACAGCCCATACAAAACTAGTATTTTTTTTCACGAATAGCTCGGTTTTGTTCTCTGCCAAGTGGAGCACACTGACAAATTAGTGCTCAGACGCACTCCTGAGGCCTTGGAAGGCAAAAAGGCAGGGTTTTAAATAGCAGTCTAGCCTTCTATCAGTAACCTTGTATTTTTCAGGTATATCAAGTAAGATTTTTGATGGGGAGGGGAATCTGCTCCTTGCCCTCCACGTCCCATCCTGCAGTGTGGGGCCAGCTCAGAGCTCACGGGCCTCGGGCCTTCCTCAGCAGCCAACAGTGAGTCGTTACTGAGAGGACCTCACCAGATAAAACCTGGATCTTGATCATCTTTTCAATGATTTTAAAATTAGCCCTTCAACCACTGCCTGCTGGACCAATATCCTGGTCTTGACCAACGTGGCCTCTTCAGTGAGGGCCCTTTCCCACTCGCCAGCACTTCCCAGGGACACAGAGCAAGGGATTTCTTTATATGGAATTCACCACTGTCCTAAGCAAGCAGGAACATCACTGCATAAAGCCACACACTGCTCATTAAAACAGTTACAGCCCTACCAAAGTAAGGCCAAACAGATGTAATTCACCCACATTTAAGGCATAAACCAAAAGTGCTTCTAAGACCCACGACCTGCCCTACCTGTCGCTTTCAGACCTCCTCACGGTCACCAACGGCTACTCTGGAGGAGAGAAGGGCTTAAAGGAAAAACAAAATGGAATCAAGCACAATTTTCACTTGTGTTTCAGTACAGAAAAAGGAATAGTTTACCTGAAACAAGGAATAATTTACCTGGAAAAGGCTGTACCTCAAACACACTCCGAGCGCAGGGCAGTGCTACAC